CCTAGAGCAGGTTCATGACAGTACCTATTGCTCGCCTTCTCCCCCTGTCTCCCTAGTTCCTCCCAATCCTCTGTCTCTTTCCAGATGTTTGGATTGGGATCTTTGTCCTCCAGAAGATTCCGCCTCTTTGCTTGTATCTCTTTCTCTATCTCTCTTTCTTTCTGCTTGTTTCTTTTCTTCTATCTGAGCAGTGTCTCCAGCTATACTGCACCAGATACAGTTGGTTAGCACAGGTCTTGGTAATATTGATGTTCTCATCTAACTCTTGGAAGGGACACAAATAAGAACATTTCTTTAAACACAGAGTATCTGCCAAAATGCAAAATGCCAAAGTGGTTTCCTTTAATCCCTAAGAAAAGCAATTTGTGAAGTCTCTGATCATATTACATCCTGCTGTAATTCATCCAGTGTGAGTGCAGGTAGCACAAGTCATTAGTATGCAGGCAGCTCCTCTTTGTCATATATGAGCATAATTGACGCTAATGCACTGGATCATAAAAACAGCTTTGGGATTCATTAACTGGACATTAAGGCAGAAGCTAGGGAGAAATTCTTTGATTTTATGCAAGGTCACTCCATCTGCCTACGAAGCAGATGTTTTTCCTCATGGCTGCTTATATCTGCATATGAATGTGGATGGTTAATGTTGTTGCTCTTGTAAAAAACGGCATTGATGCAGCAGTGTGTTGGGGTGTGAGGATTGTGATTTCTCAGAGGAAAACACCGGTATTCTCCAGACAGACATGCGCTTCATTAGCTAATGGTCTTGTCTGGATAATCAATTCAGTCTGTCAGGCCGCCTCAGACAGTCTGATGCTTTCCCACCACGCTGTCCTTCACCTCCCTTTGGCTCCAGCTCACATCCCCAAAAGCACTGGCTGCTATTCTTTTTCTCTCTGTGTTTCTTGGTTTCTTTCTTTCTAATTTTCTGTTTATCTGTTCTTGCTATAAGTTAAACTTCAGTTCTGGTCAGTTCTGTTCTGTTAAGTGAAAATTCAATTCATTTCACTGAAGCTGCAGTAAAAGCAAAATGCATTTCCAGTGAGTATGAAAGTTCATTCTTGACCTTTCTTTCTTTGACAGAAAATCTCACTCTATGTCCAATTACGAAATTTCAACCACATCAGGCAATCTTCACCGGCAGGTGGAGCCAACAACAATATGCCATATGTGGCGGCTACTTTGGTTAGCCAGCAAGATCCATCAGAAGCAGATCCCTATGCAATTAACCCTTCCTAAGTCCCGCTCCTTTTGGAACCTCGGTCAAATTTCCCAGTTCTTATAGATACCAGATTTTGAAGATGATTAAAAGATAAAACATATATGGAGTCATATCATAAGTTATCCAATGTAAGCAAAGAACTAGCTAACTAGCTAGCTAATCTAAATCAATTGTTATCTAGCTAATAACCAGCCTGCTAACTAGCCAGCTAACTAGGTAGCTAAAGACTGACGTAGATTAACTCACTACTTAGCTAACATTTAGCTAACATTAGCTAGGACTAACCTAAGATGTGACTATTTTGGATATG